TGAAAATGGAGTGTGTAGAGTAAAATCTCTCTTTCCTATAGGCCATTATGTCTCAAAATGACGCGATTTCGTCACAAAACATAAAATAAAAAAAATTCGAATTTGAATTTCAAAAAAATCGCTTCGAGGTGCACTGGCTCTTGTCTAGATGCACCTATGTACCAAATTTCGTAGCCGTGGGTCTATTAGCTTACGCGCAGCGCGAACGAAAGACAAAGACACACACAAACAGACAGACTCTTTGTTTTATTATATGTCTTATGTATGATCAGTGACCAGTGAAAAATATCTCGATAATTTTTTTTTTATTTGATTAGCTAGTTATATTGAAAGGGTTATAAGAAAAGCTGAGCTTAAGTCCTTTGCCAAATATTATTTGTGTGTTAATATAATACAAGAATCATTTTTATTAACAAAATGCAAGAACAAAGATGAGGATTTCCCTCGAAATTGCCATGAAATAGTTTTTGTATTATACAGACAAAAGTCTTTTAATTCAGACTCATTGGGACTTCCACGATTCCAGATTATCGGTTTTTCCCAATTATAGATTTTCAATTTAAATCTGGTAAGATGGCATGCAGAAATTATAAAATTAAAAATATGAAACCGTAATTTATGAAATAATGCTTACGTTCAATGAAACAAATTTTGCTCATTATGGATTTAGATATACTGAATACTTGAATGTATTTCTCCAAATTTTGTAATATTGTTTTATTTTGTTCATGTGTTTGCATATGATTCTGTAAAACATTTTTTGCTGTAAGATATGCTTAAAGTGTTTTTCGTTATCCTCGTAATATAAATATGGGTAAATTTAAAGATAAGTAATTTGTCAGTTAAAAAATTGCAGAAATTTAAAAAAAAAGCGATGAAAAATACGAAAAAGTTTGATCCACAAATTTTGTTATATCTAATTTTCATGCATTTCATGTAACCATATAAATGAAGTAAGGTACATTGCATAAGAAAAGGGGGGACAGTTTTGTATCTCCTGTTCTACTGGGCTGATTGACGAAATTCAAATTGCGTTTTTCATGTCTCGAAACTTATGATATGAATAAATGTACTATGACTTATGTATTAGATTTATATACAAGATGATTCTAAATTGCTTTTACAAATTTAGAGGGGTGATAGTACCCATCCAGACGAGTAATAATTACCGTAGAACATAGGGTCGCATTCCACACTGAGAAGCAGAAAAGAGGAATATCAGAATTCCAACCTGAACTTACAACAATGTTGGGAAAGCGAACAAATGAGACCAAAAGTTGCGCAATCTGATTTATTGCTTATTAAAAAAACTTGCAGATAGTGCTCAAAATGCCATGTGTGTCGTGGCGCAGTTGACATCGGAAGGAATGACGCACCTTCCCGATACCGTTCTACGGTCCCGTGGCTGGCGCACCTTCCCGATGATTCCTGGTGCCGTGGTAATTTTGCCTGTGGCAACAACGATTCTCTCCATGAAATCTTCAGCTAAGTCCAAAGGAATTTTGTGCACTAAAGATTTCATCTGCCCCCACAAGAGAAGGTCCAGTGAGCTAGGCACAGGTCCCCCACATCTGATCCATTGTGCGGGATATGTAGCATTCAAAAGGTTACGCACCATGATGGAAAAATGTGCTGGGACTCGTGCATGAACCAGATGTTTCTCTGAATGGGAGCGAAACAGCCTGCAATAAACTGGTAAGTACTTGTTCGAAGAACATACGGTATGTTGCACCGGTCAAATGGTCTGGCATGATGTAAGGGCCTGCCAGGTAATCACCTAGGTTACCTGCCCTAATACTTGAAGCAGTGATGTGTCTTTTTCAAAGACATGGTTTTCTCTGATTGGCTTGCTCCAGTACAAACTAAGAGCAAAATGCTTCTTCTTCTCAGTGCAAATTTGAGTACAGTTAATTCTTGATAGTCTTATGAGATAGTCTCCTTGTCCTTCCTCGATGCTTCTTTACTTTCTTCTTTTCTGCCTCTCAGAGTGGAATGCGACCCTATGTTCTACAGTAATTATAACTCGTCTGGATGGGTATTATCACCTCTCTTAATTTGTTAGAGCAATTTAGAATCACCCTGTATAGCATTGTTCTAATATAGATATTTTGTCACAAAATCAGACTTTTCTGAAATGACATGCCTATTGTTTTCCATATTTCAATTCTATGACTCAAATTATGTCAAGCTACCAAGTTTTGTACAAATTGCGTGAGTAGCTTTAAAAAGTTAGCTCTCAAAATTTTAGCTCAATGTTAATTGTAGAAATTCAATTAACATTGAGCTAAAATTTTGAGAGCTAACTTTTTAAAAGCTACTCACGCAATTTGTACAAAACTTGGTAGCTTGACATAATTTGAGTCATAGAATTGAAATATGGAAAACAATAGGCATGTCATTTCAGAAAAGTCTGATTTTGTGACAAAATATCTATATTAGAACAATGCTATACAGGGTGATTCTAAATTGCTCTAACAAATTAAGAGAGGTGATAATACCCATCCAGACGAGTAATAATTACTGTAGAACATAGGGTCGCATTCCACTCTGAGAGGCAGAAAAGAAGAAAGTAAAGAAGCATCGAGGAAGGACAAGGAGACTATCTCATAAGACTATCAAGAATTAACTGTACTCAAATTTTGCACTGAGAAGAAGAAGGCATTTTGCTCTTAGTTTGTACTGGAGCAGCCAATCAGGAAAAAACCATGTCTTTGAAAAAGACAATCACTGCTTCAAGTATTAGGGCAGGTAAACCTAGTGATACCTGGCAGGCCCTTACATCATGCCAGACCATTTGAAGGTGCAACATACCGTATGTTCTTCGAACAAGTACTTACCGTTTATTGCAGGCTGTTTCGCTCCCATTCAGAGAAACATCTGTTCATGCACGAGTCCCAGCACATTTTCCATCATGGTTGCGTAACCTTTGAATGCTAATATCCCGCACAATGGATCAGATGTGGGGGACCTGTGCCTAGCTCACTGGACCTTCTCTTGGGGGGGCAGATGAAATCTTTAGTGCACAAAATTCCTTTGGACTTAGCTGAAGTTTCATGGAGAGAATCGTTGTTGCCACAGGAAAAAATTACCACGGCACCAGGAATCATCGGGAAGGTGTGCGCCAGCACGGGACCGTAGAACGGTATCGGGAAGGTGCGTCATTCCTTCCGATGTCAACTGCGCCACGACACACATGGCATTTTGAGCACACTATCTGCAAGTTTTTTTAATAAGCAATAATCAGATTGCGCAACTTTTTGGTCTCATTTGTTCGCTTTCCAACATGTTGTAGTTCAGGTTTGGAATCTGATATTCCTCTTTTGCCTTCTCAGTGTGGAATGCGACCCTATGTTCTACGGTAATTATTACTCGTCTGGATGGGTACTATCACCCCTCTAAATTTGTAAAAGCAATTAGAATCATCTTGTATATAAATCTATACATAAGTCATAGTACATTTATTCATTCATAAGTTTCGAGACATGAAAAACGCATTTGAATTTCGTCAATCAGCCCATAGAACAGGGAGATACAAAACTGTCCCCCTTTTCTTATGCAATGTACCTTACTTCATTTTAATGGTTACATGAAATGCATGAAATTAGATATAACAAAATTGTGGATCAAACTTTTCGTATTTTTCATGCTTTTTTTTAAATTTCTGCAATTTTTTAACTGACAAATTACTTATCTTTAAATTACCCATTATATTACGAGGATAACGAAAAACACTTTAAGCATATCTTACAGCAAAAAATGTTTTACAGAATCATATGCAAAACACATGAACAAAATAAACAATATTACAAAATTTGGAGAAATACATTCAAGTATCAGTATTCTAAATCCATAATGAGCCAAAATTTGTTTCATTGAAGTAAGCTTATTTCAAAATTACGGTTTCATATTTTTAATTTATAATTTCTGCATGCATCTTACCAGTTAAATGAAAATCTATAATGGGAAAAACCGATAATCTGAATCGTGGAATCCCAATGAGTCTGAATTAAAAGACTTTGTCTGTATAATACAAAAAAACTATTTCATGGCAATTCGGGAAATCCTCATCTTTGTTCTTGATTTTGTTAATAAAAATGATTCTGTATTATATTAACACACAAATAATATTTGGCAAAGGACTCTTAAGCTCAGCTTTCTTATAACCTTTCAATATAACTAGCTAATCAAATAAAAAAAAAATTGATCGAGATATTTTCACTGGTCACTGATCATACATAAGACATAAATGAATGCTTACCAGTGGTACTGAAACAAATTAAGGAACAAGTAAATTATGTCTATATTTGTTAATTCTTTAAAAATTATTCAAAATTTAAGAAATAAAATTTTTTCACAAGAAAGTTTTAATTTTTTTCTAATATCATTTCAGTATTAAGTTTTTATAACCATCATGCCTTTTCAAAAATACATGATTTTTTTTAAATCCATTGACACCAAATAGTTTAAATTTATGCTTATCTCAAAGATCTAAGCGGAAAAAAAAAAATTGTTAAAAAAATATCAGCGCTTTTTGCACAAAAATCTTACAAAGTATTCTATGCAGAATAGATGATGAAGTACATGTCAAATTCAGAAATGTAGCTTTACGCATGCCGAGTTAAAGAAAGTTTATAAAGTAAACAAATATATTTAGCTTTTTTTTGAAATTTGATACCTTTAGATCATAATTGCTCTTTTTCATAAATTACGGTTTCCTTATTTTATATTTATAATTCTGCATGCCATCTTACCAGATTACATTGATGATCTCTAATCGGAAAAACCGATATCCGAATCGCCGAAGTCCGACGAGTCAGATTAAAGACTTGATGTAGTAATATTTCCCCAATAAAATTTAATTATTTTAGTGGTTTTACCTAGACTCATTAAATATAATTTGCTATATTTTATTATAGCTTTTCTGCTGCATCTAAATATATATATAAAAAAGTTATTTTTATTTTAACTAAATAAAATTACCATTCAAAAAATATATTTACCTGGAACATGGAAGAGAAATCTATCACCGACTGCACAAATGAGACGTTTTTTATGAATGATAGTTTTTGCAAGAAGATAATACCAATCCACAGGCATGGCTCCATGATAAAATACAATAAGTGCAGGACCATCACTTGGAATATTTTCAATTCCTTCAATCTCATAACCTAGCAAAATAAGAAAATTTTCTATTACTTAAAAATCCAAATAAATAGGGAAATCAAGAAGAATTCAACATTTCTATCAATTACTGATTCTGAACCTAAATCCCTCAGCCGCATTACGAATTAGTATTACATTTTTAATTGCTATGTATAATATGCAATACGCAATTAAAATGAATGAGAATATTAAGACCACCATTTTTACTTACTTCTCTTATGTTATTTCTCTCCTTGCCTCACCAATGCTGCTGTATCATGTGAAAACACTATCTTACACTCCAGTCACCATATAATACTGTCACTAATTGCTCAGTTGTACAAATGTATTATATACTAGCTGGAGATATTTCAGCAATAAGTTAAAAGACTGGTGCTCAATTTTTATGAATGCTGATACTGAAAACCTACTGAGCAAATACTAATGCCTCTTTTACATATTTTACAATTATAATTAGTTAACTGCATGACTAAAAGGCTTTTAACAATAAATTATAAGCAAAATGTACATTAGTCATTCAAACTGCATAAAAAAAAACATCCAAGAGATCTGAAATTTATGAAACACATATGACGGTGGCACAGGAAAATGATCCGTGATGTTGCATATATGCACGTTATGAACATGAGTAACATTATCTGAAAGCAATGGAAGAGAACATAAGACTGAATTTTGGCCCTTGCTTATTAATAAACAAAATCCTTTAGAAGAACTCATAAAATTTTTGATGTGTGCCAAACTTTGACACCCACATGCATAATAATTTTTAAATTTTGCTAAGTATTTTCATATAGGCTGTTTTGTATTACATTCCAGTATTGACACAAAGTTTTTTTTTTTTTTTTTTTTTAATGGTTTTACAAACAGATCATCTCATTTTTCATTTTTACTTATTTATTCCTTCATCCCCCCCCTAAAATCAATTTTGAAAAAGAAGCTTGTGTATTTTAGCTACAATGTAAGAAACTATGATGAAATTTCTATGCAAATACATTATTTTGTTTAAAATCGCTAAAGGGAACAACTGTTTTAATCTAATCTCAGTGATCACAAAATTTCCACCAAAACAAAAGAAGCATTGGTAGATGAATCAATAAATTCATTTTCAGGATAAATAGCTAATCCCAACCCAAAATATGTATGTAGTGTAATTTTTTACAATTATAAATATTTTTTTCTATCTCAATGTGTCATTCAGTTGTCAGATTAAGCAAAAGTGAACTAATACATAAGTACCCAAGTTTTCATATGTGAACTATGTTTGCTCCTTATTTGTATGGAAAGAACTTTTCAGTATGATTTGAAAAAGAAGATGGAACTCAAATCAATATGTATCCAGACTTGATCACTGGAGAACCTACAGCATACTATGACAGATCAGCTTTCTGCAAAATTTTGCTCGCATAAGTGGAAGCCAGCCACTTTTATATAAATGCAAAATCAGCGAGTTCAGAAGGAATAAGCAGGGCAATGTTTAGAATCATAATGATCTGCACATACCAATAAAACAGAAGAATAAACATTTTTATATGCATGGTCTATCTGAATTGCTATAGCACATGCTATCTAGCTCAAGAACTACTTCATGTGGCACAACAATAAGTACGAGGGTTGGAACTTTAATAGTAGCAACACAGCTGAAAAAACGCTACGCAACAAAACCAAAGAAAATTGCGTATACCACACGTAAATTACATACCACTTACCTCTCAGCAAAGACTCGTCCTGCCTAGTCAGTGCATGCGGAGTGACGCGAAGACGCATCCTGTATTCGCTTCTTGCCACAAAGGTAAAGGAGTTCAGGATGTTTCAAAAAGAACAACGATGTTGGATAAAATTGAAGGCAGGGTCGTACAGCACCACGTGTCATAAGAGGCTTGTGGGGACTGCATGCCTTAGAGCACTGTAGCAAGATGGGTGAAAGCATTCAATGAAGGACGCCAAAACGTGGCAGACATGCTCAGCAGGTGTCTGAGTGTCAGCGACTGCAGAGTGCAAGCGTTGCGCAATAATGGACAGTGACGCTGCCAAATGATTGTAGCTGCCGGACAAACGGATTAGCGCATACGATGTTGCAATCTGAAGGAACGCCTGTCCATGAGAAAATTGCCTTCACAATGGGTTCCACATCAATTGATGGAAATGCGAAATGGTACGATACGATGCTGCCGAACACCTGGAGCAGATGCGCACGAAGGAGAGCGTTTTTACACCTTGTCATATGCTGGATGAGACTGGGCCGATCTACCAGCAGAACTGAAACGCCAATTAAACGAATGGCGTCATCACGGGTCACCAGACATTTGAAATTTCTTCGAACCCCAGCAATGTGAAAGTATGGTGATTTTGTGTACGACTGCGATGGTGTCATCCTACGATACTGTTCCCCCACAGCCGACCACACGCGCAGTATTACTGCTCATTTTGGAAGCACAATACTCAGACCAGCTTTGCGAAAAAAATGGTGACACTTCGCGAACGTCCTCTCATTTTGCATGACAATGCTCGTCCGCATGCAGCGCAAGCTGTGACTGATTTGTTCAAGCGATGGGGCTGGGAAGTGCTTTACCATCCACCATACTCATAATTTCATATTCATTCATTTATATTCATAAAAAATCTTTCAGTTCTAACTAAAGATTCAAATCCAATCAATCTTTACCCTCACCTTTAAAAGAAAGTATTTCATAGTCATTTTCATTTTTTATCAAGAGATGGCACCAGCAGTTTGTTTTCTTTTTGGTCTATTGCAGGGATAGCCAACCTATGGGCACAATGGAGTTTTTATAATGGCACAGAGAAGACTTATCGAAAAATTAAGAGATTAAAAAAAATAATAATATTGTCTGTATCAACTGTATTGATCAACAAACACACTATAATAATTCAGAATCTTTGCAAGATGTCAATTGTTACCCAACCGAAATCCAAAACAAAATTATTGACCTACAATAGCATACTACACTGAAAAACAAATATAAGGAACTTATTTATTTTTATCTTATAAACTTTGTTATTTTTGAGCTTTTTAATTCCTTCTCTAACTTCTGTCAAAGATGGTGACGGGATACTATCGGTGTTTACAGAGGTAGTT